ACTTCCCCCTTCCTTCCGGGAGATTCTCGTGACTTCCTGCGTCCCCTGCTGCTGGCTGCTTCTAACCTCGAGTCAAAGGGTGATGGGATCCAGTTTTGAAATGGAGTAAGAACCTTCACCTCCAACTGCAGGGCATTTCTAGCTCCCTAGAGATTTCCTGGAGTCAAAGAGCCCAGCGTCCTGCAGGCTCCTTTAGTTAAATTCCCCTTCAGCTGCTCGTCTCCTGGTCCTTCGCTCGCAGTGACTCTTGGGTCTTTGTGTCCTTTGGCATTGTCAGCTCCTATAGTGCCCAGTTTGGAGGATGAGGCACCCCCCCCCCAAGTCCCAAACCCAACACCCTGTTTGGCTTGGGGTCCCAAGTGGGACTGCCTTCTTTCCCCTCCATGACCCCTGTGTTTGCCCTGGTGCCCTGGTGCGGTCTAGCTTCTTCGATTGTACTTTGCGAAGGAATAAGGAAAGGTATACATATCCCATTTCCCCGGAGGTAGAAACCCAAGGATTCTTTTAAGGGACTACCTCCTATCTCCTGGAGACGTCTCTGGACTTTGGGGCTTTGGCTCTTGTCCCCCAGAATACCGCGTCTCTGTCTTCCCTCCGTGTCCCTTACACAAGCGTGCACCTGATACAAACTCTACACACATAGGCTTCCTGTGGCCTTTGCAAGTCTAACGTTAGCCCACTATTATTTCAGTTTAATTGGCCCGCATTTTGCCTCGACGAGCATACTGCCCGGATCGTGCGTGTTTTCCGGACAGCGGACCCGGGGCTGCAGAGGTTCACATGCTCAAATGAAATCATCGTTCCTTAACGTTATGTGCTGCGCACGTCTCTGGGACGTTCATCCTCACGTCTGAGTTGTTGCTCAAGATGAAAGGGGGTATGAGATCTAATCTCTGGCTTTCGGGTGATGGTAGCCACATGGCTTGGTCTCGTTAGAGCACGTCTCCATATGTGCGGAAGCGGCCCTTTCCTTTGTTTGCCAAATACTAGAAAGTAGAGAGCTGAGATAAAAGACCAGGGCAATCGGCATGTGCTTACAGTCTTACGTGACTCCTTCAAATCTCTTCTGGAATACGGCTGGGAGGAAATAAATGTGCTTATGCCTGAAACCAAGCAATGAGCAACATACACAGTCCAGCCTCCGGGCTAACTGCTGGAACTTTCTTCTCCCCCTCTTTTCTGAACCATTCAGATGGAACAGTAGGATTCTGTTAGGTGTTCAGAGGCCGCTGCGAGTGCCAACACCATAAGGAATCATATGGGGGCGCTGAGAGCCGTCACTTCCTTCCTTTGTCCCTCGGTGGCTGTATCACCCACTCTGTGTCCCCAGCCTCAGTAGCTAATCCTTGCTTACCTTAAATATGGTTTGCTGTCACTTCTTTTTTTATTGCGGTGAAATAAACATAACACAAAATTGACCATCAGTGACATCTAGCACATGATGTTGTGCAACCACCACCAGAACATTTTTGTCTTCCAGAAGGAACCCCGCTCCCACTCGCGGTCAGTGCCTCCGTGCCCCCTCCCTGGGCCCTGCAACCACCAATCACGTTGTGTGTCTGGATTTGCCAACTCCAGACGCTTCCTGTAAATCGTATCTTACTACGTGTGGCCCTTTGTGTCTGGCTTTTTTCTCACTCAGCATGATGTTTTCAAGTAAATGCTGCGGCTTTTGTGTCTTAGGACTCTTCAGTGCTTTTTGATGTGGCAGGAGTGACAAGGCAAGATCTGGAAGGTTCTGTGGGCGCGTGCTGGGATGGTAATCTATCAGTGACGGGGCCAACCACGAGGGGACACTCTCCAAATACGGTTGATGGATGACCCCAGTGGGGAGCAATGTGGTGCAATGTCTGATTTAGGACCCAGGACCTATACATAACAGTCACGTGGGTACCCTGGGGGAAGGTTTCCTGTAATTCGCCTTATACCGATGACTGATCATTAAGTTGACAAAAATAATTTTGAACATAAAATGGTGTATTAAGAAACAAAAAGTTGGGGCGCCTGGGTGGCGCAGTCGGTTAAGCGTCCGACTTCAGCCAGGTCACGATCTCGCGGTCTGCCAGAAGTTGAGCAGCGTCGAGCATCTAAGGCTGATAACCGAGCCTGGAAACCGATTGTCTCCCTCTCTCTCTGCCCCTCCGTTCATGCTCTGTCTCTCTCCCAAAAATAAAATAAAAAAAAACGTTAAAAAAAAAAAAAAAAAAAGAAACAAAAGTTAACCCTTGGCCTTTTTTGTACCGTTTTCACCTCAGAGTCCTTAAAAGATACGTTAATTATCTTTTGTTTTCGTGTTTCGGTAAATGCACAGTGTAACTGTGATAAAGCATTTCCAAGGACAGGGAAGAGGCTGTGTGGCATTTTCCCAAGCAATCGGAGCAAATACACCAGTTAGGTCATGTAATTTAATCATCATTTGCACATGCTCTACTTTGTCAGGGTTGCTATATTTCTATTTACGCCCACATCGGTGGCCCCAGCGACGTGGTCAACGTGCTGAATGCAGAGGGGCAGGGGCTGAGCCATTGCAGTCCCCAGCAAGGGAATCCTTGGTTTTCCAAAAGCCATGTCACCTTCTCTTTGTTTCCTTTTCTGCCACTTGGGAGTGTTGTTTGTTCATTCGTTTCTGGAACTCTTGGATTATTCTCCTGACGTTTAATCTATTCCTGGAAGCTCCAAAAGTTGCTTCGTTGAAAGGAAAAATGAGAACAAATTTCCCTTCTTGGAGATCTGGCACTTTGCTCTAGTCCGAGGCAATGCACGGGGCGATGCTTGTCTGGTGGGCACACGCTTGGATGAGGGACACAAACTGAATGAGTGCTTTGTGGGGCGTGTGTCTGCCCTTTAACTTTGGCTTGGTTTGGGGGCTTCTCTTGTTGAAAGGAGAAGGTCTTTCTTCCTACTCGTCATTTCCCTAGGCTGGGAGGCACGTTTACTCTCGGGACATATCTTTACGGCTTCTTCACTGCAGATTCCTCCTTAAACGGTCTGCCCATGACCGGAAAGAGGGACTCACGAGGAACGGTTCCGCCCACGCGGTTGAGCCCACCGGCATCCAGCTCCGCGAGGGGGACCCCGCCGCTGCCCCGGGACCGTCACTGCCCTCTGCCCTCCTGTGCCTCAGACCCCGCAAGTAAATCAGCTCAGCAGTGTCGTGGATGAGTTTTCTCTTCAGACACGTCCGCCGAACAATCCACGGACAGGGCAGGGCTGAAGTTGACCTCTAGCGGCCACGGGGCAAGGCTGAAGTTGACTTCTAGCGGCCACGGTTTCAAGTTGTCATCAGTCAAAATATCAAACCCAAAGAGCTCCAAGCAGTTGGCCGTAAAGGGGACCGAGGGAGTGATGGCGAGCCCCGTGAGAATAGCCACGTGGTGGATTTTCTGCCACAGAAGCAGGCCATCCACGTCCCAGCTGCGAAGGTAAGAGAAGGACCAGCTGAGGGTCTACTTGTTGCCGCGACCGATCACTTCTTTGATTTTCTCATACGAGGCCCCGGACTTGTTGATGCTGAGGTTGGTCAAGGGGGCATAACTGTTTTGCAGATTACTCAGGTCGAACTTCTCCGTGGCAAAGCGCGCTAACCCTTCCTGATAAACGTAAACGGTCAAAGGCTTAAAGCCCGTGGTACAGACGCAGATGCGGAGGTCAGGTTTACCTCTGCCCACGAAGAAAGGGTGGCAGGTATATTTCCGTACTATGTATGTATCATCAAAGACTAAGTCTTTAATGTCACTGGAAATGATGATCCCCGTCCTGCGAGATGGCTCCACAGGCTTGCAGGTCCAGGAGCTGCGCTTTGCGGCCGTCACGTGCTTCTCCCGCGAGTATTCAGCCATGAACTTGTTGTAGTCGTGGGGCATGACGAACGTCAGCGGGATGAACTCGTGCAGGGGCCCGCCGGATGTCCTCTTCCATGCGCTTCAGGTGCCTGGCCAGGCGGTCCTTCCGGTCCGCCTGGTGGTGCCTGGGTGGTGGTTCAGCCGTTGCCCCGGCTTCACGCGGACGCGCTCAGTCATCCGGCAGGAGGAAGTCCCGCAATACAGGTTCCAGTTGTCGCTGTTCTGCCCTCCTTCGTCAAATTTGTCCCACCCTCGCTCCAGCAGGATGCTCTGCACCACTTCCGCCGTTCTGTCGTCCACAGGGAACACCGGTGGCTTCGGGATGGCCCCCGAAGGTCTGCCTTCTGCCATCAAATAAGGTTTTCTTTTCTAAAAACCGATGATCAGAAAAGCGTTAGAGGGTGGGCAGGGAGGTCATATCCTAGAGGAGCTTTTACGTAAAGGAGCCTGCATCCTACCGTCAGCTGTCCGGTCTGCCTTCCCTGACATCATTCACCAGATAACCTGGCCCCTGCACAGGTCCGCCCATCTCCTGCCCCTGCAGAAGCTGACGGGCCCCTCCCTGTGCGTTCTGTCGCGCCAGAGTTACCTGCCTACTGCCTCCTCTTAGAGACATGTTAAAACGTTGGCAGTCACAACAGTGACCTGAGGGTTACTCTGCCGTAGGTCTGTACCTTCAGTGAATCCTGTTGACCTGAAACATGGGCATTCTTTAGAAAAAGCAAGTGTCAGGTTCTCTCCAATTAGATGAATCTGAACATGCCAAAGAGAGGTGATGCATGGGTGTTATGTGGTTAGCAAGGGTCTTATCAGCCCAAGAAGCTTCGGGAACTTAGGCCAGACCCCTGTGGTGGCCACCAGCACCTGCCTCATATGCCCAGGGGTCAGAGGCCGTGTTCCTTCAAGTTCATGGTAACTTGCAAGGAAAATAGATAGGAAAAATTTGAGGTTTTAGAAATTCATTCTGCAAAAACAATGATTATGTGAAGATTGCGCTTCCCATTTTGCAAGACGCCCAGAAAGTGCATATTCGACATTTTCCTGAAATTTCAAAGACAGAAAATCAGATTGTTTTGGAGAAAATCAAAGCTGATGATGAGGCATGATGTTGTATTATGACCTACGGTGGGTGGGGGGGGAGTGAAAAAGCCAACGCCTCTTGGGGGAGATGTCGCTATTCCAAAATCCTAAAACAAGGTGCTCATCAAAACTGCCACATTCAGGCAATTCTGACTTATTTCTTTGATGATGTTAGCATTGTTCGTGCGTAACTTACCCTATAGCGTGACATAACTTATTTGGTGGAAATCCTGTGGCGTTTGAGAGGCTCTGATTGATGCCCAAGGAGTAACTCTGACAGGTGAAGCCAGTCTGGCCGGAGGGAAAGTGAGCGGGAAGGAGGGAGGAGGTCGAACTTGTCACCCACCTGCTTCTCCAGATTTGAAGTTGGGAAGAGTCGGGGAGCGGCGAAGGAGTCTCCTTGTTTTCTGAGGCCAGCTGCTGAATATGGTAGGCTCTGATCTGAGGCTGTTGATGGGCTGGGACAGTGGGTCCGAAAGAGGGTCCAGAAGCGCTGTGAACACAAGCCGTGTCAACACATGACCTCGTGTTTGTCGGTGTTGTTACTGCTTTGGTGGGGAGGGGCCCCCGGGAGCTACAGCCCCAGCGCGGCTGTTGAGAAATTCAATCTTTGCAATTTATGGCACTGTTTTCAAGCTATGTTCAATGATATTAACATGTTATAGTAGTGTGTGTGTGTGTGTGTGTGTGTGTAAGGGGGAAGATCAAAAATAATTATGGAAGCTGGATCAAGCACAGTTAAAAACGTTCCTTCTCTTGGGGCACCTGGGTGGCTCAGTTAGTTGAGTGTCTGACTCTTGAATCAGCTCAGGTCATGATCCCAGGTCGTGGGATCGAGCCCCGTGCTGGTCTCTGTGCGGAGCGTGGAGCCTGCTTAAGATTCTGTCTTGGGGCACCTGGGGGGCTCAGTCAGTTAAGCATCCGACTTCGGCTCAGGTCGTGTTCTCAGAGTTCATGAGATCGTGCATTATGCCGTCAGCATGGAGCCCACTTGGATTCCCTCTCTCCCCCCTACCCTGCTTGTGCCTGTGCTCTCCCCCTCTCCCTTTCTCTCAAAATAAATTAAAAAAAAAGTTTAGTCTCTTCCTAGCTCCAAGACACATGCCATCTTTCCCAAACTTAGTTGATCATGGAACCCTCCTAAAATTTGTGTCACATTACTTACCATTTCACAAAAGCAGCGTGGGAAATATTGAGTCAGCCAAACCTGATGGGATATTGTCCCATTCCTGGCAACCTCCACCTTCCCAGCCTGGGAAATAAACCTCTCAGGAAAGGACAGTGTGGCCTTCTGGGGGGCGCCTGGCTCCGTCGGGAACCAGCACGTGGTGGCTCGGGCCCGGCCTTCTCCGGCTCCACAGGTCAGCGGACGAGAACAGACCCAGGAAATGCCATCTTGAGGCCGGCCGGCAAACCTGGGTTTCCTGGAACCAAGAAAGCCGATCAATCATCCTCTGGAGACGTGAAGCGTATGGTCTGATGGGACTCTGGCTGTTCACTGGGACGCTTGTGCAACACCCACTGGGCCCGTGTCAGCTGAGTGTCCACTTGCCTGTGAAAATTCGTTGAGAAACCAAATGCGTAATTAAGAGTTTTCTCTGCTCAACACAAGGTCTGGAGCCACTGAAGTGTCTTTCCTCCAGCCTCTTTCAGACGGACGGACAGACGCTGCGGACAGCACACGGTTCCGTCTGACGAAGAAACGCACGTGGGAGGGGGCAGGCGTCGTGATTAAAAACTGGTTGGGGACAAATTCGGAAGCCCTCTGTAGGACGGGGGAGGTGAGGTGGGCTGTGAGGACCGGGTGGGGGGAGCCTGCAGAGGCCCCTTCCCGTGCCCAGGCACGCCGTCTGGCCCAGGGGGCGTCACGGGGCACATCCCCGGTCGCTCGGCTCTCGCCTCCCACGCCTGTAGAGGAGGAAGTGCCCATCTTAAGGTGAGTGCGGCCATTCCCGTGAGTGTAGATGTGGGCCGAAGGCCACCTGCTGGAGGGGACCAGGACACAGCCTCTTTGCGTGCTCACGGGCGCTGGAGCCACATGCCCCCCCCCCC